CCGGTGGAACCTCAGGAGGTTCAACAGGGCCAAGTGCAAGGTCCTGCACATGGATTGGGGCAATCCCCGGTATCCATTCAGGCTGGGGGATAATGGGAAGGGACTGAGAGCAGCCCTGTGGAAAAGGAGCTGGGGGTACTGGTGGATGAAAGGATGGACATGAGCCAGCAACATGCGCTCACAGCCCAGAAAGCCAACCGTCTCCTGAGCTGCATCCCCAGCAGCGTGGCCAGCAGGTCGAGGGAGGGGATTCTGCCCCCCTGCTCCACGCTGGTAAGACCCCACCTGCAGTCCTGCGTGCAGCTCTGGAGCCCTCAGCACAGGAGAGACATAGACCTGTTGGGAGCGGGTCCAGAGGAGGCCACAAAAATGATCCGAGGGCTGGAGCACCTCTCCTGTGAGGAAAGGCTGAGAGAGTTGGGGTTGTTCAGCCTGGAGAAGAGAAGGCTGTGGGGAGACCTGATTGCGGCCTTTCAGGACCCGAAGGGGGCTTACAGGAAAGCTGGAGAAGGACTTTTTACAAGGACACATAGCGATAGGATGAGGGGCAATGGCTTGACACTGAAAGAGTATAGATTTAGATTAGATGTAAGAAATTCTTTATTGTGAGGGTGGTGAGGCACTGAAACAGGCTGCCCAGAGAAGCTGTGGATGCCCCATCCCTGGAAGCGTTCAAAGCCAGGTTGGATGGGGCTCTGAGCAACCTGGTCTAGTGGAAGGTGTCCCTGCCTATAGCAGGGGGGTTGGAATGAGATGACCTTTAGGGTTCCTTCCAGCCCAAACCATTGTGTGATTCTATGAAACCCCGTTATGGCAGAGCCTGAATCAAGCCACCTGAAGTCACTGCATCTTCCATTTTGCCACTACTAAAATAAGAGTATCTCCAGCTCCTAGCATTTTAATTTGGAACCCAGTGAGCTTTGACAGCTACCGATTGTTCCACATAACTCCACTTTCATTGGAGGTCACTGGGAAATACAGCTCTAATACACCAGGGGAGATACCAGGAACACTGGAGTTCTCTGGGCAGTTTGGGTCTCAGGTCCACTTCCGTCCATGGACTATTTATGTACCAGAGCACTATTTTAAACAGCCCTTTAAACAGGAGGGAAATCAAAATGTTCCTGCATTGGTTTTTACAGAAGCAGAGTTGAGGCCAGACATGACTAATTTCAGTTACAGTTATGTGATTCATTGATCAAGTCCGCTATAGATGAGGAAAGACTTGTAGAAGGAAAAAGAAAACCTCTCCTGGGTCGAGTGATGGAGAAGATGCAATGGGAAAAGGAAAAAAAGAAAGCTTCAAGCAGTCTATGACCCCAGCAGCAGAAGAGGAGGAGGTGGGAATTTGGCAGTTTGAATGGCAGAAGCAAGAAATCCTCTCCAAGAAGAGTATACAGAAACCAGTAGGACATGCTGCTTTTTGGAAAAAAAAAAAAAAGCACACCCTGAGGAACCCTGTTGTGACTACAGTGAGAAAGATCCATTGATACTGGTCTTGTGTCTGACAAATGCTTTGAGAAAAGTTACACTGTGGAAAACCATTACTGAATGCGGTTTGTCTTGACATTGCCATTGTACCACCACTTCCCACCACTCAGAGGATTCCGCCCTCACAGTCTGCAGACAAACACCATGCACCTGCGTGAAAAAGGTAGAAAGTGCCCAAAGGAGACAGCACATACACAAGTGCGATCTGCACATGAGCAAGGGACCCCAACCCCTATAAAAGGGGTGTGTGTGGTCCAGTAGGGGGGCTCTTTCCCATCTTCATTCCTTCCCTTTGGACCTCTTGGAATCCGCCTCGATGAAGCCAGCATCGTGTGGACTGAACCTGGAGCAGAAGTGAGGGGCACCGGAGCATCAACTATGCCAGAGATAGGGGCGCCGGAACATCGCTGGACCCGGGGCGGTGGGAGCTAGTCCTTTCTATCTCTTTCTCTCTCTTCCCTCCGTCCTCCCAGACATAAACCCATTCCCTTTCATTCTCTCCTTTTCTCTCATTCCTCCTTTCCTTTTTTCTCTTGTTTTTTCCCATTTACCCCCCTTGGTTACCTCCTCACATGGCTACCTCCTCCCTCCACCTTGGAAATAAAGTTGAAAGGTTATATGACATCTGACTGGATTTAGTGTCTTAATCTTGTCCTTAGGATTGTATCGAAACCTCCCCGAGATTGGATTGGGACATACACAAAGGTGTTAACAGAAGTATTTATTAAATAAATGGAACAAAAGAGAAAGTTCATCCACCCAAAAGAGCACAGGCACAAAAGTTGCTCACGTACACTGCAGAAGCAGAAAGCCAGTGTAGCCTTTTTTTTTGTTTTGAATTTTAAGATAACTGTGCTTATCTGTACACCACAGTGTGACCTGTTTCATTTGTTTTGCAGAAAACTGTTGCTCACTTGGGAGAGTGTGCAATTTCCCAGTTATTACAATATATCCCCTTAGTAACAACTGAAAGCAGCTGTTTCTTTAAAAGATTACAGAGCAGGGCATGCTAGAGGAACACAAAGAGTGCCCCTGAATTTCAACATTACCACACATGAATGATATATGGAACAAAACCTCTCTATGCATCACAGCTATATAAGGGAGAACAACTCAAGGACAATTCCTGTCAAAGACAGTTCCTGTCTTTTCTAGGAAACCAGAACTACTACTAGTTTACAATTCATAAAAGGATAACAGATGTGATCACTTTTCCCTCAAAGTTCTTCGCAAACTAGTAATAGGAGAACTTGCCTCTTCCACCATTGAGTGTAGGGTTAACACACACAAGCTGGTTCACTTTCAGCCTGTTTCTCTCAGCACAGCAGTACCACCAGTTTTGCTACAACAGTCTAATTGGATAGCTCCACATATTTTGCATTTCCCTCAGTGCCCTTTCTGTACACTAACCTCTGCTGCACAAAATCTGTATCTTTGATATTAAAACAAAAATTATCTTCTGCACTATGCCTCTGCCTGTACATACAGAGTTTCTGCCTGAACTGAAATTGTTTAATGGCAAACTCTTCCCCCCCCAAATACTCCTCATTCTTGAAAGCTGAGTTGGTGGTCTAAAATTCACTTCCTAATTGTAAATGGTGTGGATAGGTGGAATGTAAAAGCCTCTGGTTCATTAAGCTATCTGGTTAAGGAGTATTCAGAATAAAGGAAATAAAAAACCAAGGAACACACAGACACACAAACACTAAGGAGCAAGTGATAGGAGAGGATAATGAAGACCAGAAGGCTTCAGCCACTGATTGATGAGCCATTAAAGGAACAGCTCTGGTACAGCCTTGAGGAGAGTCAACCTGAACATTGATCAATGAAGGGGGAAAAACATGATCATAGAATCACAGAATTGTTTAGGCTGGAAAAGACCTTTAAGATCATCAAGTCCAACCGTTAACCTAACACTGCCATCCCACCACTAAACCATGTCCCTAAGCAATGATCATCATTTGAGGGGGCTTACAGGACCGTGCAAAACAACATATGAAAGGGAAAGGCAAACTTACTACAGTAGCAAGGAGAGACAAGGATCAGGGTGAATAGGGAGGAACAAGCACAAGAAAAGGCAGAGGATGGGGAAGGGCTGCTGGTCAGTACACTTGTCAGCTGAGCACCTGACCACAACAGTCCATGCAACTTCTTACTGTAAGCCATACAGAAAAATGAAGACATCTATAAGATGTATTGCTTTAATACTGTAAATTCATAGATAAAAAAATCACCGCTTAGGAAACCCACATAAGAAACGTTTGCTTCTGTTTGCACACATCTAATAGAATTCTACTCAACTGAGATTCAGGACCCAATTTTTAATCATTACTACAGTCTGCACCACCAGTGATGGTATGATTAGTACATGAAACAAAAGAGGAATTCACCACAGCCCTTTTCACACTGAAGAGAAACTGCTTCCATCCATCATTCATACAGTCAGACTGATGGCACCAAATGTATTGTAAAGACTCAAACATATTCAACGTTTATCTTTAAAAGTGATAAAAGTAAATTCTAAGCAAAATCATGCAGTCTTTCCACATCATGGCTGGTATCAACCACACTAAGCATTTAAACACTTTCGGTTTCAACAGAAGTAAATATCCCCTGCCATTACTGAAGCTCTTTGTTACTGATTTCTGGTTTCAGTTACCATTCTCTGTTTTTATCAGTTCTTTGATGATGTGCAAGACCTTGTCATCTAGGAAAGAAAACAAGCACAGTGAATGGAAAAGAGCAAGCTTAAAAATAGATTCCCAAAAAATCAGAAGACAAGTCTAGGGCTCAGCAACTTAAAATCTTCATGTTTTAGGCGATGCCAGACTCTAAAAAAGGGCAAGGGATTCCCATTTGTGAAGTAAAAGGGCAAACAATGTCCACAGTACATCTTCAGAAAGTTTATAAAATTGCTCCATGAGCTGATTGTGGCCCTCTTAGTACTTCACAAAAGAGACTCAGAAAGTAATACACATTAGTATACAGAAACTCCCTTTCTTCCTCCCCACTTACAGTATTCTTCAGAACATCCAGTGTTCAAAGTTTAAATTGTGCTGTTCCATCCCTTACTTAGGCAGCCAACATGCAGCTCCCCATCGTTAACCTATATTACAAGACAACTTGCCTAACACTTAAAATTCATCCACACCTGAGGCTCATCACACACCATCTTACTTCTGTTTTGAGACGCATACCTCACCATTACTACCACTACCTTGAACGTTGTTATCAGGGATATCTTCAAAACAGCAGTTGTACAGATCTTCATACATCTGGGGTGAGCCACATAATTTATGTAGGATTAGTAACGACTGTTTGGATGTCTCTCAAGATAATGGAATGATATTCAAGTCACATTAACCCTACTGGGGGAGGATGCAGTGTACTAATGCTTCCTCAGATTTGCCACAAGGTCCACTTAACAAATAGTAATGTCAGCAATGCGGTAATAAAGTTACCTTCAAGTGACATTTTAGGATTTTCAAGCTTCTTCTTTAAAACAGACTCAATGAGAACTCTCAGCTGTTTGAAAATTACTGCTATCTTTACCGGAGCCTATAAAGAACAGAGAAGACAAACATTCGCTTTACTCAGACATTTTTACCAAAATACAGATTATTAAAAGACGACATACGAATAGATGTTTATTACAAAGTTCCTATAAACATGATGCATGTATATAATTTTACGCATATGGGCTAGTGTACTCATGAAATGGCTGGGCTTACATTATGCCCTCTTACTCTGAAGCACCTGTTGTTTGTAGCACCACAGCCTAAAGAACAGCAGCTCAGAAGGGTAACTCAGAATGTGTTGCCACACATATCATGAACAAGTAGCATACAGTGAAATTATTAATTTACCAATATCCTGCTTACTCTAATTGGGGTTTTTTTCCAAGGCATAAAAGTACAAATTAGTTTACACCAAAAATGAAGCATCAACACATTTACCTCTCAGGTGGTCTGCAAGGCCTCCTGAGAAAGCAATTGCAAACGCCTCCTAAATCTCACTAAGAATTTTGATATCTAGAGCTGAAGCCTTTTCCAGGAATCTTTCATTTTATTCCTCCCTCCTTATTCCAGTCTTTACTTCATTTATGTCTGTGGTACAATAAATAGCTATTATGGAAGAAGCACAAAATACAACATATTCTGCTTAGAATCTCAGTAGAAAAACAGGAATTCTGAAACACACTACAAGATGTAATCAGCCCAGAAACTGCATAACCTGTAGCCATCCAGGCACCATAAAGAGGTCTCCAACAAACCCAAAAGGGAACCACTTTTCAAAATTCCATGTTCATGATAACCAGTGAATTCAGTTAGATGGTTGCTTACTTGCATCAGCAGAGTGCAAAATAAGTGTTTTGTATCTTTATAGTCTTCCTTGAGTGTAAACACAGGACCCACAGGAGCACAGAAAACTGTAACCAAGTAGGGTCAGGCTAGCAAAAGCCAATGTTTGCCATTTAATAGAATTTACAGAGAATTTTGGTACATCACCTGTCTTAAATTTTGTCTGCAAAAATGCACTCATTTTTCCCATTCCCAAATAGGTTTTGGCTGGGGTAGAGTTAATTTTCTTCATAGTAGCCAATATGGGGCCATGTTCTGGATTTGGGCTGGGTACAGTGTTGGTAACACTGGGATATTTCAGCTGTTGCTGAGCAGGGCTTACACAGGGTCAAGGCCTTTTCTGCTCCTCACCCCACCCCACCAGTGAGGAGGCTGGGGGTGCTCAAGAAGCCGGGAGGGGGCACAGCTGGGACAGCTGACCCCAACTGACCAAAGGGATATTCCAGACCATATGATGTCATGCTCAGCACATAAAGCTGGGGGGAAAAGGGGGACATTCAGAGCAATGGCATTTGTCTTCTCAAGTCACGGTTATGCGTGATGGAGTCCTGCTTTCCTGGAGATGGCTGAGCACCTGCCTGTTGATGTTTTGCTTTGTTTGTGTGCACAGCTTTTGCTTTACCTATTAAACTGTCTTTATCTGACCCCACGAGTTCTTGCTTTCACTTTTCCAGTTCTCTCCCCCCATCCCACCAGGGGGAGTGAGTGAGCAGCTGTGTGGGGCTTAGTTGCCAGCTGGGGTTTAAACCATGACACCAAGTAAAACTTTTTCACCCCAAAAGAAAAAACTCTGAACAAAAAAAAACCCAAACACCCCAAACCAAAGCAACCAGGTATTTTCCATTTGTTTTTTTTTCTCTCCCAAATAACTCTGGGCTATAAAGCAAAATAAATAGTATTTTAAAGATAAATATGTACTTGCATGATTGTAAGATTGTAGGGAAGTACAACATAAAATAGCACACTCATCTGCTTTCAGTACCAGCTCTGTAAGTCACTGTTTAGTATATTTAATTCCCAATAGCTTTTCTGGAAGAATTGTCATCATGGAGAGGGAACTGATTTCTTACAAGCCACGTATTACAAGCCTATTCTTTCGAGTGATTTGCTAAGATTTCTTTACATGTATATAGAATTTCCCATCATCTCCTTTAATTCTCTCCTTCCTTCTTCCCACTGTATGGTGTTCTGAATTAAGCTTGCTACACCAACTGTGTAATACAGAAGCCCATGGAACCGCAAAAGGTAGTTATCACCCCATACCTGAAAATGGATCCAGCCATCAACTGTAAGGAGATGCTCCCGATGCTGGACTTCTATATCCCCACCAAAAAGCAAAATGGGAAAGGGCGATATTAAAGTAGTCTCTCTCAAATACACCTTGGTGTACCTCACCTGCATATAAACAAACACAAGATTTAAAACAATAACAGAAAAAACCCAAACCACATAAAATCTTTAACACCAAATTTGATCACTACTTTTAAAAGCAAAAAATATACTTTTTATCTTTTAAGACCCAATCAACACAAGTCATTGTATACAGAACGATCAATGGCAATTTGTCTGCCCTAGACCACATAAAATACATCACCTCTAAGTAAGTGACAGGCTTCTACCCTATAAGGAAGTTAGCTAAAGACACAATTTTCTTGTTAAAATCGAAACAGAACGATGTTAGCCTAGTGCTGTTCAGAGAAGAAACATCAAAATTAACAAACCTACTGACGTAACAGACAGGTAAAACTCTTCCATTATACATTCTTCTTTGCAGTGGCTGGTTTGCCAATCTATCTATACCCACATATGTACATGCATAAATGTGGGCGCATGTGTAGACACATACACAGAGTAAACTATGGGGCTGAGCACATGCTACTTCTGGCTTTGGAGCCTCTCACAGATAGACGGAATAGGATGGGAAGGAGTTCTACTGGGAGGAAAGGAAACAGTGCATCTTCACACAGAAGTGCAGGCTTTGTTTGTTGCACTGTTTGTGGAATAACTTACCCACCTTGGCTGCTGCATTGCCCTTACACTACAAGGTTCTTGGGAGCAGGAAATATTTTCAGCTCTCCAAAAAATACTATCACTTCATATGCATTAAGAAGTCTAATGTAATTTCCTGCTTCTCTACTGTAAAGCTGGCCATTAAGCAACTGCTGTCAAGGTTCTGTTGTACTACAAGTGTAGCTAAATATAAACACTAGAATTTAGCAAATAGCTGACAAAATTTTTAGTTGCGAGGGGGAAGAAAGTGACAGGAAAAAAAATGCAATTCACTTAGGAAGTTCAGCAGTCAATTACAGAATTAGCTATTTCATTTTAAGTTATTACTGGGGATATGCAAGGCCTGTACCAAGTTTCAAAAACTTAAGAGTCTGCTTAGAACAGTAAAAAAGAAAAAGCACTTTGAAGTGCCTGCTACATATTACTGCTTAAAATGATCATATTAAAATCAATAGCAGTATATTAAAAAAGTCAATGATACTATTAAGTTAAATGACACACAGAAATGTACTTTCATTTATAGCTACCAGTTCTACCTTGAACAGATTTGTTCATGATGTTCAGTCTTAACTTCTCTCTTCAGTACTCAGTTGACTCATTTTTATAAACTTTAGGATCACTACATACTAAATACTCTTAAGATGAACACGACATTCAGATATACTTTATACCAAATAGCATACAGCAGTATTAGATGCATAACTCCACATTTACACAAACTATCAGCTACATTCACTAGTTTCACTTACCTTCTCCTGGTAAAGGAGCCATCCGTATGTCTGTAAGTCTCGATTTACAGAGGATGGATGCACCTGTGCTTTACCCTGAGCAGTTTCTACCACACAAGCCAGCTTCTCTGTGACATCCACAGACTTCATATATATTATTTTTCCCACGTTGTCATACAGCCCTGCAGTCAACACAGCTTTAAGAAGAGCTATTTCGTGGAGAGACATGGACTGTGTGGCTCCATTTCCATCCCATCCACGTTGCGTTGTAGGTGCTGTGAACCCAGCTGCTCTCACCACCCTAATGAGTTCTTGCTTCACATCCTGAAATTAGTAAGGTATTAATGAAACCCTGAATTTAAAAAGGTACATATTCCACTCGATCAGCAGGCAAGAACACTCCATCCCAAATATTCATGCTTTCCGGGGCAAAATCTCGTACTAGAAAAACACTTGTATTTTCTGCAGCCACTTTGGAATACTGTCTGTTTCTATGAGAAAAACATTACCTGGAACATAGGATTGGATATATGGTACTATGTATACTGCAAATACTAAATCTCTCACCTGTAGTTAAAATAAAAAGATACATTTGCATCGAAGATCCATCTCTGTTTAGGAGAGCTGTGACCCAAACTTAAATGGGAAAGGGCAATTAAAACATTTCCTCATCAACAATAAAAGGCCATTTACCTAAGTTTGTGGCTTTCAAACTGTTAACAGACCTGTTCTTCGATAACAAGAATAACACAGTCTAAGTATTTTAGTTCATAAGTTTTGATTCTCTGGTGGAAGTAAGGACTAGCTCCTCCAATGGCAGTGACTGGCAAAGATGAATGCCAACATGTGCATATCAAAACCCCACTGCAGACACAGCTACCTTGACTGAGAGTGTACATTTCATCATCCCTAGCATTCCACTTGGGTTTTTGTCCTGTTTAAACAGTAACTGTGATATATCACATCTTTAAAAGGGTAGGACATTTTCAGATGGAAATTTTAACAAACAACATTTGAGTGCAGAGCATAATTACTTGGTTTACCTCCAGAGTTAACAGTGAAGTCCTATTAAGAAAATTTCTTCTGCAGTAAGTCATTTCAGCACGATACCCCCCTTCTTGCCGAGCCCTTTTCCACCTAAGGAAAAAAATCCCATCACATTAGAGCAAAAAGAATCACATCAAGAGCGTAACAATATGAAGTGGTAGTAAGTTAAAAGGCAATACTGTGTTTTGGTCAGCATTCTTCAACTCAAAGCTAGAAAGAAGTGCCATTAATGAAGATGAACACTGCTGGTCTAAGAGCACTCCAGAGAACATGCCTTTGACATAAATTTGACAGGTTCTAACAAAAAGACAAGGTCATTTTCTCTCAAAAAATACACACTTCTGTCTGTCTTTGACAGTCAAAACAAAATTCAGGTGTGGTTTTTGAGACAGTGGTAATATACACATTTGTACTTTCTCAAATACAAAATATTCAGGTCAGCACACCACAAACCACAAACAAAATGCTTCAAACACTATGATAAACAGACACAGTACACCTCTGTGTTTGCAAGCACAGTTAAAAGGAATGAAAGGATAAGGTACTAAGCAAGCTATCCTTTTGTGTTACAGTATTTGGCAATCTATTGTTATTCTGAAGAGAAAAACCTTGAAGTGCAAGTAGTTCATGAGCAGATATTTATTAAGAATTCTTTATAGAACTACATTAAAGTGTTATCTTCATCTAGCTATAAGCACAGGAGAATTATCATTTACCCCAGATAAGCGTTGTAGATTGTTATATGGTCTGAAACTGCCATTGCTAGAGATGATTTTGCAAGATCTGCTTCATCTTTTCGACCAATTGGTGTAGTAAATGGGGATTTTTCTGTCATAACAGCAGCCAGAGTTGCCTGCAATTAGTAAAGTACATATCACTTAGGAGTATTTTATTATAAGCTTACAGGTTTATCATAAAAATAGTGTTTTCTTGTACAGTAATATTTAATGATAATTTATCTTCTACTAAGTCTCAAGGAAAACTTAACACCCTAAGAATTTCCTACGTAGAATTCAAACCATAGTTATTTTAAAGCCATTGCCTACATAGTGCCTTATATGCACTGATAAAAAAAAATATCAAAACTCACATGATATGGTTTGTCAAGTGACAGAGTAACATCCAGTACAATACAGTGACGGTCAGATTAAACAACTGTTTTAGATTAAACCACATTAACAGGAGATACTGAGAGAACAAAGGGTTTTAACTTTCAGTTTTCAGCAACTAACATACCTATGCTTTCTCCTAATTTGCAGTCAATTAAATGGATTAGGTGAAAGTGTAAACTATGCCACAGACTTCGTACAGTAAGTTACTACATCAACTTGCAGTAACTTTACATCAGCATGTTCTTGGCTGACAAACTGTGAGGCAATCCAGACTGGTCTAAGCCATACGTAAGAGGGCTTTTTCTGCAAGTGTCATACCCTCTGGGATTGTAAGGGACAAAACCGGAGACCAAGTCTGACTACCCCTTTGTGAATAGCACCTAGGAGTCAAGAATCACAGAATAGTTTATGTTGGAAAAAAACTTTAAGATCATAGACTCCAGCTGTAAAGAAGATTTAGATTGTTCCCCTCCATGATGTCCAAGTGTCCTCACCTTAAAATATTTTAACTTCTTGCATCATCCTTTAAAAATACCATGTTGCAAGAAATCAGACTAGTTGTAAAGAGTTAACCATTTCTATACTTCTTAAAATTTAGATACAATTTTTTTTTAACTCACCACAGGATCCAAGCAGCCAAATATAGCACCAAATATAAGCATTTTGCCAATCTTTACATTGACAGGAAGGGCTGCAAGGTGCTGGCCCAATGGAGTCAACTTGGGCTCGTTTAACAGGCAAGCCCCAATCTTCCTCAACAGGTTCATTGCATTACCAATTACTTGCTGCTGTGGTGGGTCTAATGCTCTGGAAAGGAAATCTTCAGGAGAGCCAAGATTGCATTTCTGTGGAGTAAATGGGCATATATTTCAATATAAAAATTTATAACAAACTTTTCTAGTAGCTACAAAGGAAACTAGAAAGCTGTTCTTGCAATCAAAAGCCCACATTCCCTCCCCTCTAAAACAGCCTCTTGGTTCCCAGAAGGCAGACATGCCCCACATTAGGTTAACATAACTTCTCCATTTGGAAGGACTTCGTATGGCATGACCACTGATCGGAGAAGCATGTTACCAATGATCACAGATGAGCAGGATACTCTCAAACCTAATGAGATGCAGTTCAACCTAGCATTAATTTGCCACATTACTTGTTTTCTCATGCATATCCTACTCACTCAGGATGGGGAGAGAGGGAATGGAATTGCTTGCTTAAGTAGGAAACAGTTTGAAGGCTATTTAGGTAAGTTTGAACTGTCACTCTGAGGTAAACTGGAATAGTATAATACACTATTCTCACTCAGCAGCATGCTCTGGATTTTCCAACACATAGGATACTGGGTTCCCCCCTGCTCTGGTGGGAGAAATCCCACTAACTACACTGGATTAGGGCTGTCCTAGCAAACCTTTTTGGCTAACAAGGTCAGTAATCCCAAAACCATATGATAGTATGAAGGTGTAACTCCTCCAAAGGCACATGTAATATTTTTAGCTAACAAGGTCAGTAATTTTAAAACCAAAACCATACCATTATATGAAGGCATAATTCCTCCAAAGGCACACGCAGTATTTCTGGAACAGAATATTCCATGAAACTTTCAAACCTGCAACATCATAAAAGCACAGTCATAGATATTCAATTTAATCTCCAAATTCAACTTACTAACTCAGGTTTCACACACTCAATCTTTGCAGATGTTCTTTTGAGGGCCAAGGTGCTGGAGTGGCACATGTTTTAATGCATGGGTAAAGCGTTCATCCTTTGAAAATTAAGGAGTGTGTTGTGGCTTGGAAAGCACGAGTCTCAGTGAAAGAGAGGGAAGGACTGTGATTTTCGAAACAAATTTTTAAAATGCATAGCTCTCAACCTGAAAGTCTTGCATGTGGCTAAGATGGTTATTTCAAAATACTTTTACCTTAACTGTTTCTCAGCTGAAAGTTGCTTCAGACTACCAGACAAGCAGAAAAAGCTTATTCCACTGCAGTAACAGAAGCTTAATTCTGCAGTGCTGTACAATTTGGTATTTTCCCCATCTCTTATCCATAGAGATACCACCTCAGAAACCTACTTGTTTGTCTGATTAAAAAAAGGAAAAAAAAAAAAAAAATCAAAGTTCAGGAGGTAACTTTTTTGTGAATGACACCTAGAAAAAGACTTACATTATAGAGATACTAAGAATAAAATTAACTTTTTAAAAAATCATGAACTAAAAAGACTATTATAACACTTTATTCAGATGATACTCAAAATTGTCGGTTGGGGTTTTTTATACAGTTTAATCTCTCCAGTTTGCAGTTATTACAGTGAATTTCAAGAAGACTACTTGTTTTTGCACAGAAAAAGAGACAAAGATATTTATGTGATTTACAAAACCTTGTTAAGTTTACAGTACCTGTCTCTTGTGTACATTCGGAAGCAGAATCCATCCCTAACACGCCCAGCTCTTCCTTGTCGCTGCAGAGCACTAGCTTTACTAACAAAGGTCTCCTCCAGGGAACTCATCTGACTACTTTCATGGTACCTTGAAAATTGTAAAGCAAGTGCCCATTCAGATTTCAGAATCAAAGTTTTGATGTATACTTAAATACCAGCATATTGATAATATATCTAAATAGCATTTATTTGAAAATATTATATTTAGGTTGGAAAACTAAGCATGCCTGGGGGAAACTGTACATCATAGAACTCTGGATACAACTCACTAATGGAAGTGTAAAAATTGGAAAATGGAAGAGCTATTACATTATTTCATCTCCCTAGCAATTAAGAGTTGCTCTAATACATTCTGTAGGGCTTTTTACATTTATAATGGACAAAAAATAACTTCTAAAAACTGAGATAGTGTAAAAAGGATCTACTTTATTTTTAATCCAGCATTTAATCATGATTCTCCATATCTATGAACAACTCCCCTTATTGTTCATCACACCATTTGAAAATCCAGAGATTCATCCCAAACTTGTACCTAAACAGCAAGCTGTTCAATGGGCTCAGCAAGTTTTTTTGTCCAGAACTGTAGTTTAATAAGGAAACTATAGAATGCTTGCACAGTACTAGCCTTCAAAGATTTACAGTAATCACAGTATGACTGATGAAAATAAAAAAACCTCTTAACCTCTTACCTATTTTCTTTTGTTCTCCCAGTATCAATTACAAAGACAACATCTGGTATCGTAATACCTGTCTCTGCTATATTGGTTGCCAAAACAATCTGAAAAGTAGTAATATAACATAAATAAAAGCATTATGGAATGTCTAACAGTTTTCATCCTTTTAATCAGTAGTATAGAATAAGTTTGGTCAACGTCTTTACCCAGAAATGTTTCCTTAAATAATCTGACAAAGCATTAAAAGCTACAAAACTTGGAAAAGGATTTAGTCTTCCTCAATTACCAAGGAATCAAAAGTGAGAATTTCACATTAATTTTTTGTTTTATAATCTGTTAAAATTGCTAGCTAGTACTTACCAAAAGTGGTCAACTTTTAATTAAATAGTTTAGCAGCAAGTAAAATAGTGTTTTTCTACATAAAAGCTATAGTTACTGCTTAACGATAGTTAAAATACAGGAAAACAATAATTAAAGAAGGTATTACAAAAATATTAGGTTTAAAAGTCTGTCTTATTACTGTCAAGGTTTTCAGAGTATGCTAGCTGTTACAGAGCACCAAATCAGAAGAATCGTTTCTTCACAGTGAGAAAATTCCAGGAACAACTGGTTGTTGTGTAATTCTGTATGATTTCATTTTACAACAATTCAAATTTGCACACACAGAAAGTTTCTCTTTTCAGTAGTGAACTTTACCTTTCTAAATATATCATACCTTTCTAATACCAAGAGGAGGTATTGTAAATGCAGCTGCTTGATCCTGAGTTGAAAGAACAGAATGCAAAGCTATCAACCTGTGCCTAGAACAAGAAATTACACTAGTCAATATACACTTATCAAACTAAGATACAGAAAAAAAAAAAAAAGAATGATGACAAGTTTGGAGAAAGTAACTGGAATGGATGCTTTCACTTTGTATGATTAGGTATGAAAGTCTGCCTCAGTGTTTTACAGTTACCAAGAAAGGATAACACCGTTAGTTCATAGGGCTGTTCTCCTGTTTGGTAATAACACAGGAAAAATACTATTACTGCAGAACTCTAGGTTAATTTACATCAATAGCCTAGCAAAAAAGGGAACTATATGTCCATGAACCTGAGTCCTTTGCATTGTGCTTCCAAGACAAGGACCATTATTGTAACTTTGCAGAGAACTATAAACACATGCAACTTTCAGCCTGAGTAATAAAGGCCTTCAGAGATGAGACAGCCATAGAGATTGCACTTTCCTTCTCTTTTAGACCTCAACATCTCGGTCCATCTGTGACTCTTTAGAATTTGACTGCAAATGTTCTTTTTATGCCATTGTGTTGCTACCTTTTAGGAACACACAAAATAGTTTTCAAAACTGTCACTACAACCCTATGCCATTTCTCTTAGTAGATTACTGTCTCTGGATCTCTTCTCCCGAAGTAGTCACTTTCATGTAAACAGTGTGCCACAGAAATCTTAATCCCAGATACAGCAGCTTCCCTACCCCAAGAAGTGGAAAAGTAGTAGTCAAGTGCTTAGTGATTAAGTAAGTTTGTTGAAAAATAAAGTCAAAAGGAAAGAGTTATTACTGCACCATTCCTAAGAAATTCCTACCAATCCTAAGATTTGTAGCACAAACAGCTCAGAGTTATAACTCCCACTTTCCCTTTTCAAGAATAGCAAACCTTAAAACCCAAACATATTCATTAAGTTAGACCATTTACCTTACAGAAAATATCTGCATTACCTGTCACGCAAGTTAAACCTTCTGTCAGTTGAAATGAGATCATACAGCTGTTGGATATGGGCAAGGCCTGGTAAAAAGATCAGCACAGCACCCTCAATGTTCTTGAACTGGGGACTTCTATCTGGAAAATTACAGTACAGGCACATAGTTAAAATAAACATGCATTTGCAAACAGTTTCACTTGAGAACAGGAACTGTGAACATTTTTTACAATGTTTGATATAAGAATGAGGGCAACTACTTCATTATCAATAGAAAGCACTGGAAAATAAGTCCAAAGGACAGCCCCAAGTATATAACCTTCTTAAGAAGTAGACTGTACCTAAGTATGCAAGCAGCTCCAAAATAAGTTCAAGGTTGATCTTGTAAGGGTTCATATAGAAGATAGCCTGCTGTGTACGACTGCTATACTTTGCATAGTAAGGAGCCAACTCTATACCAGACCCAGACTGGATTGGGACACACTCCTAAAAAAGAAGAGCAGGAAAAAAAGTCATATTCTCAGTGTTTTAGAAGAAGGTAAGAGAGCAGGTCAATTTGTCATTCACTTGATTTCAGTTTCTTAAAACAGATTGAGATAACACACATTTAATTTACTATCTTCCCACCAAAATCAGTGTGTTAGATTAAGTCACAGCCACATATATAACCTATGTATAGGTATCTACTACTGTTAAATGACATCCCAGATAAAAAAAGTAAAAATTAAAAGTCTGTACAAGCAGTACTGTAAGTCTGTTTTACAAATGAAAACAGTTCCCAGGTCCATATCTGGCATCCAGTTGGTATCAATTCAAAATGGGTAACAGGGTGGCTACTCTTCTTTCAAAACCCCTATTTTGGGGTATAAGAACCTGATCTACCCTTTCTCCTCTCCCTCACCTCACCCTTCTCAACTAATGGTTGCAACAGAAGTTAAGAGTCAATTAGGTGTCAACTTCTGCAGTGTTTTGGAGCAGGAGGAAAAAGGAGAGTTAGCAGAAGATACAAGCATTTAAATTGTTTATAAAAACACCTTAAAGATAACACAGAAACCTTATGCTAAGTATGTAAGTGGCACTATTGTAAATTACTTCATTGTTAATCAACGTACTTGAAACTTGCTACTGCATATCCTTCTGTACCAAAGGCTCAACAGAAATAAACCACAAAGATGGAGAAGCACTCAAGAGAGCACTTGGGCTTCAACTACAGGACATTGTTGTAATGTACTGGGTAACTATGACCCTGGTGTGGGGGGGAAATCAGAGCACATGAGAGCATATTTTTCAACATATGCATCAGTGCTTGATCATGACAATGGTCTTGCAGAGATTTTAAGAGAGCAAGTCAGAGCAAATGGGTATCTACCCAAAATATATACAGTCTAGGTGAACAGCCTAAGGTGCCTGGAGTCAGACAGCATTCACATATTCTTCCTTTCAAGAGTTTTGATCCAAAAGCACACACAGCTGTCCTCACAGAGAACCTACAGGGTTAACCACAGCCTCTTAAACCAAAAAGCTCTACACAATCTTAAGTAAATGATCTTATTTGGCATGCCAAATTGGAGGATCTTGGGGAGTTTTTCAGCTAAGGAGGACACGGCCTTCCTCTTCTGTCCTTATGTTCACTACTTAGGAGAATTCTTTAGGAGAAAATACTTAGCCCTGCTGCTGTATATAGATCTAGAGCTGGGAATCTGTACAAAGAGAACTCAAATGTCAAATATAGCAAAATTAGGGCAGCTATAAAGGAGTTGGAGAGACAAACATAAGGGTGTAGCATTAAGAAGTGGTTTCCACTGTAGGAGTGCCATTGTGTCTGCCTTATCAGCTGAAAGAATACTTGGTATTATACAATCCAGTCACATTTAGTAAGAACTAAAATGAGAAAGTAATTTAAAAAATAATCAAAATTTCCAAGCCCAAACTAGAAATGCCTATTTTACCTGATACTTCATAGTGCCTCCTCCTTTGCTAGAAACATTTATTGTTACTTCCTCCTCCTCCTCTAGGAACTTCTGACAATATTCTGAGTCTTTCTCCAGAACATAGCCAGTTGCTTCAATTACATCTTCAACATGGAAAATCTTTAGTGAAAATTCACAGAAGAAATACAAGGCACGTCAAAAAACTAATCAGCACCTTTTTTTTTTTATTTTAAAACTTACATAAAACAGGGCATGCCCTTCTCTTAATGTTGTAATAGATCTTGCAAACTTCAAATTAATCTCTCTCATGATTTTTGAAAACCTAAGTTAGAGCTGCTATAGATTTTTAATGGGCCCCTCCACATGATCACTAACATTACCTTTACCATAGCCCATATAATATACATGAGAAACATACATAAGAGTAATGGCAAAATTGCATGGGAGAGGGAGGGAATTCTTTAATACTTTTTCTACATATGTTGAATAGAGAAAAATAAAAGTGCCACTGATGGATTTATTGTTGATCAAAATCAGTCAATCAGAAAAAATAGTACAACCCTGTACTTCAAAGCACTAAAGCTATTTTATATTTTTAAAAAGGAAAAGGGTCACAAGTCTTTGAAACATATGTTTAAGATATGTATTTTTGGTAAGAAAAAAAGTGATATAGTTGTTATTTCCTACAGAGGCTAACGAGGCAAACACTGTATATGGGCATACAAAGTGTCTTGCATAATCAAAGAAATATTTGCCTACCTCAACAGGGTAACTCCTCCCCGAGATCCTTAAAATGGGACAGTGTGAGAAATAGCTGGAAAACTTCTCGCTGTCTACAGTAGCGCTCATTAAAATCAGGTGCAGGTCTGAACGCTTATGCAAGATCTCCTTCAGAATAACTAACAAGAAATCAGACTGGACACTTCTTTCATGTACCTGGAATTAGAAAGAACTATCAGTAGTAAGACTTTAGTACAGGTTAAGGACCAGGATAATGACAGGTTCTGCAGAATAGTAAGAGCTGATAACCTCATCTACAATGACATGAGATACACTTGAAAGAAGACCATCTTCTTGAAGTTTCCGAAGCAGGACACCTGTTGTACAGTACAGTAGTCTGGTGGCTTCTCCTGTTCTTGATTCCATACGAATTTGATATCCACAGAGGGAATTCTGTAAAAGAACATATAAAAATATAGGAATAACTTAAGAACATACAAGCTAGACATATTCAAAATGAAGTGAAATTTAAACAGTTAGATTCAGACACTGCACAAGTTGCTGATTAAATAGCATGAATGACTACCACCGTTTTTTTCCACACACAGACTCTTCTTTGTTAAGGAACAGGAAATACACTGAAATCTACAACTAAGTTTCTCTGGAGTAGCAAAGAGCTGGTAAACTCTGTTCTTTTTAGCATTCTTCGAAGTCCTCAAACAAAAATATTTTTGCACAAATAATACTACCATAAACCATACAAGACCTCGTTTTTCTTCAAATAACAAAGTGACATATTTTGGAAGGGGCCTCTCAAACCAGAGAGCCTTATTTGCAGGACTGTTCTCCATCTTTAATGCTAGAGTCACTGGGCAATCTGCTCCAATGTTTGACCATCCCCATTATGAAACACTCTTGCTCTTAGTCACCCTCTAAAGATCTTAGAAATCATATATGGATACCCAGAGGTTCACAGGTGACAATTTGGGAAGAAAAAGCTGATGTAGCAAGAAGCCCTTTCCAAAAGGGAAAACACCTAATTATTTGGTTGTGTAAGAAATATGTTTTCACTTTGTACCAACAATCCAGCCCCCTGTATTTGATCAAGACTAGAAAAAGGAATTCAGACACATCTTACCTTTCCTCCCGGTCCTGATTCACAGCCTAGCTCTTCACAAACCCTGGTTGCCAGACTCACTGCTGAGATTCTTCGGGGTTGTGTGCAAACAATATTACATTTGTTGGATCCTTCATCTAGCAACAAGTCTTCTAACAAGAAATGGGGCACCTGGGTACTCTTCCCACTGCCTGTTTCACCAGCCACAACAACTACTCTGTGTTTTTTAAGAGTTTCTACAATCGAGTATCTGTGCTTAAACACAGGTAACTCCTGTCTCTCTTTCAGAAGCCTCTGGTATCTGGAGGAACTTTGCAGCTTTTTGAACAAAATCCTTGAAGGTTCCAAGTTATCTGTGTTGGAGGTTTCAAGGGAGAGATTGCTGAAGTCCTCATCAGAAACTAGGTTTTCCCAGGAATCTTCAGGACCATCCGATACTTTTGGTTGGTTTTCAGATTGCAGCTGTTGTTGTTGTTTCAATTTGTTTAATAATCTAGCAATAAAGTTATCACGGGGTTTGTTGGTTTCTATCTTGTTTTCTTCTTCCTTTTTCTTTTCAATATCCCTCCATTCTAGCCAGACATCTCGGTAGGTAGGAGGCAGTAACTGATGAACGGACTTCATGTGAAAAAAGCAGAAGAAAAATTACTTTATGTACTACTTAGTAGTATCACTAACATTTTATGTGTTAATGAACTTGAGTAGCAAAAGATATGACAAAACAGGAAATAGGAGCTGTTTCTGAATACAGAAACTATGAAAACTGTAATACAACTGGCTTGCGTTTTTACTGTCCTGTTTTTGGCTGGGATAGAGTTAATTTTCTTCCTAGTAGCTGGCATAGGGCTGTTGTTTGGATTTAGTATGAGAAGAATGTTGATAACACCCTGATGCTTCAGTTGTTGCTGAGCAGGGCTTACACCAGTCAAGGACTTTTCAGCTTCCCTTTCTCTGCCAGGTGCACAAGAAGCTGGGAGGGGGCACAGCCAGGACAGCTGACCCCAACTGGCCACAGGGCTGTTCCAGACCATAGGACATCATGCTCAGAGGTGGGGGGGAGGGGGGCAGAGTTAGCCAGGGAAGGAGGAGGGATCAGGATGGGCTGGACATCAGTCAGCAAGTGGTGACCAATTGCATTGTGCACCACTTGTTTTATGTATTCTGTATATTCTATTACCACTATTATTATTCTTCTTTTCTTTTATTAGACTGCCTTTATCTCAACCCATGAGTTTTATCGTTAGTTCCCCTCCCCCCCGCCCCAATTCTCTCCCCCAATCCCACTGAGGGGGCAGATTCCAGGCTAAGAGCAGTAATATTAGTGAAAACCTTACTTGTCCTTTGGTTAAATGATAGAGTGCCAAAGTAGCAGCTAGGTGTTGTGCTTGCATACTGTCTTCTGTTACGATTGTAGGACACATAGCCATTACATCATCTGCTGATTTTGTAATCCTGACCCTTAAAGACAAATACATACGGGCATTTCTCTTAATTTTTGTTGCCTATATAAGTAGCACACCTGTTAATGTTTTTGTTTAAAATGTAAGAGTGAAATTCAAATACAGAAACTAAGCAAATTAAACTTAATGTTACTTAATAGTATTTTGTAAATAGAAACAGCTGATAAGGTCTGATAGAATAGCAGAAAAATCTCAGCAATTCCAGCAGTGAATTTGTGATTATTTTTTTTATGGAAGAAGGACTAAGTATTTGTGTGCTTGTAACTATTTAGCATAGATTGAGATGACTGTTAATGATCTACTGAGATGCAAACATCTGTTTAACTGGGCTGTCAGACCAACTGCCAAATTTCTCATATTCTTAGACAAACAGTATATTAGTAGCTTTTATCTTGAGCAAGACAACAGGTTCTTTTGCTTAGTTTCTTCAAGAACCGTTACTCATTTGCAATGCCATTTCTACATTACAATATTCTACTTTATACCACTATATTATAGACTCATTTTTTAAAGTTTCTTTTAGAATCACTGATACCGCACTGTTTTGGTTAGCTTTCATACAAATTTCTAAACTTCAACTTTATTTCAAACAATCCCCAAAGGGTTTTTGGTATTCATATGCTTAAAACCTATGTTTTAATATATTACTTTGAACAAAAATACCAGAAGTTAATTGTCAAAATTTATCCCACAGGTTCACTTATGCCCATTTCATTCACCAGTACAGAATTAAAAAAAACTCCCTTCTTTACAGGATCATTCACCAGAATCTTATTTTTGTGGTAGTGTCCAGAGCTATCCAGAGAGAAATACCTCTCTCAGGGACTAAAAAAAGAGATAGTTTAACCCAAACTCACTATATTCTTATAAATCTGGATCAACACAACAAGACAGAAGTAGCCAGCACTTTTATTTTTAAATGAACCAAAAGGAAAATGTAAAGTTTATAGGAAATACATACCTACATTTCCAGTATTTTCCAACAGGAACCTTTTCAAAAGCCGGATTTGGGCTCTTGGGAAAATTCTTCCTGCACCAGTCAATCAAAAATTGTTTTGGAGATTTACCAGTCCAGCTTCGAGCACTATAATCAAAATTTCTTACATCTAGCGGTTCTTTCTTTTTCACTACAAGAGCAAAAAGACACATTTTAAGTCTCTTACAATTTATTTTACATTCCTTTAATAGCCAAGAATGTTTTTACCTTTTCTTTATATGTACTTTTACTAGAGAGCAGTATTTTCTGAAGTGTTTTGCAGAAATACTGGTACTGATACATGACAAATTCCTGCTTTTCCCACAGAAGTATCTAGCAGGAAATTGGTTACAGTATTTGGTTTGCCATCTTTGATCACCCAATAATTTAAGAACTTTCACTAAAGTTTATTAGAAAACAACAAAAAAGTTTGAAGGTTTACAACAAAAATAATTTAAAAAGATGAGGGGGTGACAACAGAAACAGTAAGTAGCCCTACAATTTAGGAAAAACCCAACAATATTTTAGACATGGCGGTATAGCAAAAATAACTTTGTGTCATCTGCTAAAACAAATACAGCTTGGTCAGTGAGGTAGTCCACCTGCCTTTCCTACAGTCACAGCTTGATGACTCAGCAGTGCAATGCAATACAACCTAGAAAAACAAGAATTAACATGGGAAATTTGTGGTACACTTCAAGCTTGTACTGAACCATTTCCAACACACCTTTGTCCTCCTTTGCAGCACCATCAGGTTTTTCAAGCAAGCTCAAATTCAAAGTGGTTTCTTGAGGTGGAGGTGAGGGATTTTTTTTCTTTTCATTTTGTTGTTGGTTTGAAATCTTTATAGCCGGATTAAATACTGGATGTTCTTCAAGTATTGCCATTTCTGCCAGAGAGAGAGAGAATACAACTTACACCCACCAACTGCTGAGAATTCTTTAATCTTTAAATCTTTAAAAAGAAAAGATCAGTTATATTAATCCATACAGAGCACCCAAAAGCAGAAGTAGCTAAATGTTACTGACTTTTTAGAATTTGACACACATGGAAAGCATAGATTCAGGAAAGCCTGCAATTCATACAGTGGTGTAAGAGATGATGAAATCAATTCAGTCTCACTCAGAGACTTACTTGCCTAACAAATACACAGGTGACAAAATAAAACACAGGTAATTTGCATAGCTCTACCTTGCTGAATTCTTCTTATTTTCTCCTGTGCTACCTTCTGGCCTTGCTTGTCTTTGTCTTGCTTGGAGACACTTGCTTGTTCCTTTGCTTCTGAAAGCTTGGCAGCCAGATGTACATACCTCTCATTCTATTTCAAACAGAAGTATTAACTACAAGTTGAATATTGTATGCTTGTCACTTTTAATAAGCTTCACAATAAAAAAGTGGGGCTTTTTTGTCCTTTATACCAAGCTTACACAAAGGAGGAACAATTAGTTTTTATGTAGCTAACAGTCAAAACCTCTCAGAATTCGATAGTCGCTCTCCTAATCTCACTAAGATGTGTTTCAAGAATTTCTCCAGCACAATGCTTTCAGTATTTTGAGCCCAGTACAAAAGAGTAGAAAAGGAAAAACAACTTAGGAAAGGAGAAGTTTCAACACATTTCCTCTTCAGTAGCGTGCAAATGTAAAAATAGATAACGTAAAAAAAGTACTCAATCCCCAATTTTTAACAAGTAGATCCACCACTTTGCAGATGTACCAGACATACGACTTTTTGAAAGACTTCCATGAATTGTTATTCTATCTTACTGGGTCAAACTTTTCTTCATCTGTCTCTTTCACAGACTCATTCTTCTCTTCATCACTCTGTTGTTCAGCGTATCGCAAAATCCATTCCTTCATAGTCACTTCTTTCTCTTTCCCCACATTCCTCTCCTAGAAATGGCAATGAAAATGAAAAGTAATAACAGTAACTGAAAACACCAATGCTTTTCTCTGTCAGTACATAGGAACTATTGCTTAAGATTTTATATATACACAAACTAAGTTATGACACAAATAACAAAAACATGGAGCAAGCTTCTTCAACCAGGATAAACATCTCATGGTATGCTTCGAGATCTTAACACTTGAACAGTAACTGCTGTAAGAAAAAAGACACCACTTTGAAAAGACTTCTTGCGAATTTCTAGGTTTAAGATTCAATAGCCACAAAAATCAAAACACTGCAAGTACACAGGCAAACTCAAAGCCACACAAGTATGTGAAGAGCGCCATCTATAAACAAAGAGAATAAACTCATTCCAGGAGAAAATTAAGCTATGCTTTACCACAAAGATCAAGTATGAAGAGTCTCCTAGACTTCACATGAAGAAAATCTTACTTTTGAATGACCATTCCACTGAAGTTAAGATAATGTGGGTGACAGTTAAGCATATCATGTTTTCAGAAGTTTTTCACATCAGTGTTGGAAGTCAATGCAAATTCTGTATTTGAGAGCACTTAATCCTCTCTTCCATCCAGTAAATACAAATTAATTTCTCAGATTACCTTAGTTTCAGGGCCATTTTCTTTCTTCTTGTTATCTGCTATGCGAGGTGGAGGTTCATGTCGTGATGCAGGAGAACAAAATTTTGCTCTAGGTTTCTGTTGCTGTTCTTCAAACTGCTGGCTAAAACCTTCAGGCAAGGCATCTTCAAAATAAGAAACCCACATCACAGAATATGTCAATAATAATTACTGAAAATATTTTAAAACATGTTGTGAGCCAACAAGAAGAACAAGAACAGTATGCCTGAAATAAAATTAAGCTTTAGCATTTAGATAAGCCAACATTGCTTGTTGGAATTCCATAAAACTCTAAGAGGAGGAGTAAGAGGTCTACAAAACTTTATACACTAAAAAAAATCCCAGAACCAGTCAGCAGCACTTCTAAGGAAGGAACACTGTGATGACTACCAGTCTTGGTGAAACAATATACTTTATACTTAATTACTACTACAAAGCACTCTCACACCAGAGTAGGTCCTGTTACTCTTCTGTTAAAAACTGTAGTCAATTCTCTGTCACCATACTCACCATCAGGAAGGTTTAAACAAAGCCAGTCAAGTGCAGAGTGAAGATCACCACCATATAGAAGTGTATTTTTCATTGCTTCCTCAATGTGCTCAGTCTTAAAAGAGAATCTTTGTAAAGCCATATATACATCCTATAAATAAAGAAGTTAAAAAATATTAGGAATTAATCTAGCAATCTAATACAGCCTTGTAAACTCCTATTTCCCACATATCAGATAACTGGCATGAAATGGAGGAAACAGCACAAATTAATCTATCAGAAGGCTGAGTAGAACATCCTGTTTTGCATACAGATCTTACAATAATTTTATTGTAAATATGTATGCATATGTACAAACAAATATACATTCCAGCCTGTACACAGAACGTATTTTCTAGTTAGAAAGAAAAATGTACAATTTCCCAACTATAAGGAATGAAAAATGTAGGAAACATAAAACATTCAGATTAATTTCTATTACTCTATCCTGTCCGAAGACTCTGGTTTTAATTACTGAATGCATAAAGACATATCTCTCCTAATAAGCATACTTGTTGATTCCACTGACTAACCACTAATGTAACTACTGGAAAGCATGCTAACACTGGCTTGTACTACATGCAGAAGTGTAAGTATGGCACGTGATATGAACAACAAAAAAGAATCTGTTTATTCTAAATGAAAAGTGGCCGGAGAGCAACACTTTAAACTCTACCTGTAGTTTCTTAGTAGTAAGTCTTTTGGAAATCATTCCTTTGTCATCATTTTGTTTTTTATGGTCATTGATTACATCAATAATCCTTTTCTCCAGATTACCATTTATCATTACCTGCACAGAGAAAATTAGTTGATACAAAGCAAAATATTACAAGTTTTTTATGACATATCAATGCTCTTCACAGCTAAGGAAATAAGAATGCAGATTCTCTCTGCCATTCAAATCCCAACTTTTCCAGCTTAAGTGCTGTAAACATTTCTTATGAACAGGATGCTTTTTTTCTTTTTACTTTTGCAAGCTATCTGCTTTTACTTGAAATAAAAGAGTTAATTCCTTACTATAGAGAAGGCCCATTTACATCTTAAAGGAAATTCACTATGTCAAGGGAAATACTGTAAGGAAATAAAAAAAATTCTACCAGAAAGAACAAGGCCTTTCTTCTCTTCTTACAAGAACTGGTATAAAATAATTTGATCATCAAGACACAACCTGTGACACACTCCTTCTTACCTGACCTAAAAAATAATTTTAGTAAAACAGTAATTTTAATATTCTTAACACCTCTAAAACATGAACCAAGCTTCACCTGCTACTGAGGTTGTTGTATAAAATCTGTTTTCTTCCTCTGACAGGAAGAAAAGACCATATGCACAGCAGAAGCCCTAACATAGCTCTTAGTAGCCCTGGATGCAGTGTATAATTTGTTACTTAAAAATACAGACATTCTCTTGCCCTTTTAGCTTACCCCTATTTCTTAAAGCACACTCAAAATCCCAAATGCATCAAGCTCAAGACAGTCAAAGTCTAATACATGAGTGTAGTTTACCTGCATAACGTAATACCAAAGAAGAGCTGGAGAAATACTTACTCAGCTAAAAGAATACTACAAAACCAAAGTTGTTTTACCCAAAGAAGATACTCGCCTTAAGAACAGATTTATCGAGGTTTGCAGCAGCACTGGAATCTGTTGTTGAACTAAAACTGTAAGTTTTTGGACCTGCAAATTTCAAACAGACATCAATTAAATAAATAGAACACAGAGAACGTTGTTTACAGTAGCTAAAGCAGACCCAACGTAATGCATGTTAGTGCAAGGAAATATTACACTAATTTGCCGGAAACACGCAGGTATGTTTCAACAATAAGAATAATTAATGGTACAGAAAGGCCCTTGAACAAGGAATAGTGGCTCTTAGCAGAGAAAATGTAAAATCCCAAGTGGCACAATGAGAGGAAATGGGATTGACAGCTCAATCTCAACACTGGAACAAGAAATCCCAAATAGGGAAGCCCATGGCAGGTTCAAAACACGTAAGACTGAGGTTTTTTTATTACAAGGTGCATAGCTACATAACAGAACTCTTTGCTGCTAAAGCTGTGGATATTGGATGTTTACTGAAGTCCAACAGCAGACATGATAGCTTTGTAGTAAATAAATCAATTTAGGAAGGCATTAAGAAAAACATTGCATGTGGCTCAGGAATACCCTAAGCCACAACTGGTGGAGGATATAAGAATACCTTATGGAAGTATCACTGCGTGTCCAACCTATTCTTACCTAGGTACTTGCTTTTGGACCCTAGCTAGGAGAGGGTACTGGGTTACAGAGGCCTTTGGTCTGATCTGCTATTGCCATTCTTAAATGCTTTTCGTTTAGCAGCTGTTAGAAAAAAATACTAATTCACAGAGATATTTATTGTCATTAGTATGGTTTGGCTTCTCACAACACACAGCTTGATGTCAGACTCCATTGTTTTCAGAACACTCATACAGTTTCTGGTACTGCAAAGGTGAAAAGAAACTGGGCAACTTCACAGCTTTCACCACCCCTCGAGGCTGCACACCACCTGAGAGGGAGCAGTGCTGTGCTCCAGGAGGCATTGCAACCTCCCAGCTCCTCTGCCTGCCAAAGGGCAGGCAGGACAGCTTGTATGTGCTGGGCTGCCTGCAGAGGGGCTCTAGGAGAGCGCATTTTTAGATCAGGACTGGGTGTACATAGCTGCATTTCAGAAAAAAGTGTTTATCTATGGTCAGGAGCTACAAAAAGCAGTTAGTACTCACAAGCTAATCACTGGTAGGCTGTGCAACTACACAGTATTTAGACTATACTAACTTACTTTTCACTTACACTGACCTATTTTTCACCACAATGGACAACCTGGGAGAGAAATAGGATAGTTTCTGAAGAGCACTGAGCACCATGGTGTTAAGAGCAGTGGGAGACACAAGAAATACATTTAGCAGAGCCCAAATTTATAAAAGCAGAGAACATTAACAGGTTTGGGAAGTTTAAGTTAATGAACTACAAGGCTTTACATTAACAAGTTGGAATCTCAAAGGGCCTGGCCATTGCATGATTCGCTTATAGTCTGCAACACAAGCTGTTACTGATGTTATAAGGTATTTCAGCTACTTCTGGCAAAGCTGTTTTATTGAAAATAGACATCTCATGCTGCTGCAGAATACTAGTTTTTCAGGCTGGACCCAGAACAGTCATCTCTCAGCTCATCCAACACTGACTCCAGCCCTGGAACTGCTCTGGACTTTTTCATGACACAAAAAAAACCCCAAATCCACATGACATTGGTTTGGAGCCCATACGGAATGAACGCTTACAAGAGAGGCTCATTGCTGGGAAAGTGCCACACCAACACTTGTTCCACAAGAACTGCCAATAACCTAATCACAGAATTTTTGTAACTAACTCAACACATCAATGCCAACAAGGCTCATCTGTTCAGGGAATCTCGCCCAAGAAGCGAGGAGGGCTAAAGCCAGGCCTGACTCACCCCGTGTCGGAGGGATTTAAGGCACCTCTCTCGATGCTCCGTAAGGCCAAGCCTTTCAGCAGGCCTCCTACCGTT